TCCCCCTCCTCCTCCTCCTCCTCCCTCGACGCCGCGGCGGGCACGGCTCCTGTGCGCAAAGGTGTCCCTCCGGCCTTGGATGGGTCCGCCGAGGCTTTGCCGCGCTGCCGCCCGCGGGCGCCGCGTGGGCGCCCTGTGCGCCGGGCGTGCCCGCCGAGGTTTCGCCGCGCCGCCGCCCGCGGGCGCCGCGTGGGCGCCTCGAACGCGCCGTGTGGGGCCGCCGAGGCTCCGCCACCGTGCCGCCCGCGGGCGCCTCTCGGGTGCCCCGTCGGCCGGGTGCGCCCGCCGGGGCTTCGCCGCGCCGCCGCCCGCGGGCGCCCACGTCACAGATGCCCGGCGGCGCCGCCCGGGCAGTTCCCGCGAAGGGGAACGGAGCGCCGCTCCAGATCCCCGTGGCTACATCCGCCACCGCGCCTGCACGATGTGGGTGGTTTAGGCTGCCAGGTGCTACCCTGTAGGGATTTGTGCACACTATAAGTAATGAGGGACCCCCCCCCCGACTGCTACCAAACAATTGCATGACCCCCCCGTTTTTGCCCCCGAAGCCACGATTTACGGCTAACACGATAAGGCCGCGCTCCCGAGGCCACGACCCCTCGGAAAAGAATCTGCGTCCGCGCCCCGAGCTTTCAAGACGGCCAAGGCAGGCGACCGAGGCAACCAAAATGACCCAAGCTGCCTCGAAGACGGGCCAAGATGGCCCCGAGGCCGCCGAGGAAGGCCGGACTGGCTCAAGTCTCTGGCAGCATGGGCCTTCGAACGTGAAGGCCTGCGCCGCCCCGTGGTACGAGCAGCATCACTTCGCGCCGCCCCGTGGTGCGAGCAGCATCGGTGGCAGGGCTCTCGCCGGCGGCCTTCACTCCAAGCTCATGGCCTGGCGATCGGGGGGCTGGCGCTTCTCGAGGTCTCCGCTCCACCGACGTGCTCGGGCGCTCTGCCACGAAGGTCGAGGCCTTCAGCCGCGCCCGCAGAGCTTCGCGCGCGGCCAACCACCTCCGCATCCACTGGGGCTGGTGAAGATCACACAGCTCGGGTCATTCAGCGGAGGTGGCCGCTGTGTGGAACCGCGGCCGGCCCCGTGGATCTCGCACCGCGCGGGGCGAGTCGGCCGGCGGAGGAGGGGCTCCAGGGACGAGGCGGTGCGCTTCCGTACGAACAGGGCCCCACGTCGCTCAGGGTGCTTGCGGCGTACTCCCCGCCGCCTCCTGCCCGGGCATCGCGGCGTCATGTTTGGAGCACGACGCGCGGGAATCTGGGCCGATGGATCGTGGCCGAGATAGAGGCGGCGCCGACTCGGACCGCGCCGGTGCTACTGCCTGACGCCAACGATGGCCTGGGGCGTCGAACGTCGCCAGTGATGCAATCGGCCCCCTCGTGGCCACATGGCTGCATGACGTGCTGTTCGGCCAGCATGTGGTGGCGGCCAATGCATTCTCCCCCGCAGCGGGGCGCGCGTTCGAGGGAGCGGAGCCCGCGGCTTCATCGACTACGTCTGAGTCCCTCAGGGGCTCTGGTCCAGTACTCGCGGCTGTTCGCCCTGGCGCCGAACTGCGACTCCACTCCAGCGTGCCAGGGCGTTCCCCGACCACGCCGCTGTCGCGCTGCACGTCGACCTCTTCCTGCCGATCCACGCGCCCGCTGGAATTGCTCAGCGGGCGCGAGACTCCGACGAGCTTGCGGCGCTGGTCCAGACGGGTCACCAGCGCGCCGAGATCCTCGCGGCCATGGCTCAGGAGACCGCGCCCCCGCACGCCGCCATCGCCCACGTCGAGAACACCGACCGCGCCGACGCGCACGCGACCGTCCTAACGAAGGCTCCCTCCCCTCTCCTCCCCTCCTCCTCCTCCTCCTCCTCCTCCTCCTCCTCCCCTCCTCCTCCTCCCTCCTCCTCCTCTCCCCTCCTCCTCCTCACCTCCTCCCTCCCCCCTCCTCCTCCTCACTCCTCCGCCTCCCTCTCTCCTCCTCCTCCTCCTCCTCCCCCTCCTCCCTCCCCTCCTCCCCTCCTCCTCCTCCTCCTCCTCCTCCTCCTCCTCCTCCCTCCTCCTCCTCCTCCTCCTCCTCCTCCTCCTCCTCCTCCTCCTCCTCCTCCTCCTCCTCCTACCTGACTCGCTCTGGCGTCTACTCCGAGAGCGGGCGCCCCCTCCTCGGCGAGCGGGATCGGCCCCTTTGCAGACGGGCCGCCCTCCGTCGAGCCGGCGCCGCGCCGCCCGCGCAGCGAGGGGCCTCTCCGAGGCCGGCTGCGACGACTGCCGGCGCGCCCCCGATCGAGACTCTACTAGACGTCAGAGTGACCCTTCGCCAGAGTGACCTTTGGTGCGGGCCCATTGGGGTCCCCCGATCGCCCGCCGAACGCGATGCGTTCGTAGCGTCTTGCGCGCTCGTGTTTGGTCCCCCGCGCGGCCCCCAAAAATCCGCGCACGAAAGGTCTTCCTTACCCAGGGTCACGCCGTCGTGTACTCCAGATTTCGTAATAAAAGGGAGGGGGTCTGGACCCTCCAAGACAAGCCATTTCAGACCCCCCCCCGTGGGAGAACCCTCCAAAACATCGTCCCCAGACCCCCCCAGGCCCTCCAAGATGGCCTGGAAGAGACCCCCCCCCGATATGAGACCCCCTCCCTTTTATTACGAAATCTGGAGTACGCGGAAGCGCTCTTTGCGGGATCTGCATCGGCGGCGACAACGAACCAGCCTCGAACGTATCCCTACCCCTAAGACGGGCGAGCAAAAAGCGAGGACAAGCTTAGGGATGGGCCCTCAGGAACTGAGGGGATCCCTAAGATCGGCATCGAGGTGAGGTGATGTCAAACATAGGGATAGGGATATGTTCCAAAATGGTAAACAACGCGAGCTCAATGACGCCCTCCGGCGGCGCGATCGCGCTCCTGCCCGCCGCGCGGCTCGGACGCTCGCCCGCCAACGTCGGGGCGCCGAGCGTCGGGGCTACAGCGTCGTCCCCGAGGGCCGCGCGAATAAGGATCAGTTGGGGGGGGCGCCCGTTGCGCAAGCCTGTTATCGAGCGTGGGGTGACTGCAGCGCAGGCGGACACTCCATTGCGATGGCGAGCGCCCCCCCGATCTGACTGGCAGCCAACTGGACCCCTCAGCCTGTTCGGCGGACTTGTTCGAGGAGGCCAAGCGCGACCTCGACCTCACTATGGATGAACTACGTCGCACTCGGCGCCGCAAGTTCGCGCGGGCTAGGGGCGCGCCCAGCGAGATCTTCAGAGCGCTCGTCGAACCGACCTACCGCTTTCGACGACCGCCCCCTGCTGCTGGAGGCCTCGGCGCGCCACTTGCGCCGACGGCGTTGCCCATCGATCCAGAGGTCGGCCTCTATCCCAAGGAGGGAAACGCAAGTTCCCCATCGAAGGCACTACTGAGCTGCATTGTCTGAAAAGCCGTCTACTACGGCTACACTGCCACGCTCGCGCACTGCAGTGGGCCCCAGCTCGAGCGGCGGCAACTCGCGTCTTTATCGTCCTGGAGGTTCGGCCCGAAGACCTGGCAAACCGACAGAGGCGCCGCCGGCGGGGGGCCGTTCACTTGGATGAGCCGGTCGCGGAGAGGGACCTCGCCGCGTCGCTCCGCCCTGCCCGCGCCGCGCGCGTTTGGTGGCGCTGTTTCTTCCGAGCCCGTCTCCGTCAACGGGCCCTCCTGCCTTGGAGGCCTCCAAGCATGGGGTGGGGCCGCCATGCGAACTTTGCCACTAGGGCCTTCGGTGGAGCTCCCTATGGGGCAGCGAGACGTGCCAGGGGTGCGCCAGAATGGGGCGGGGCCGCCATGCGAACTTTGCAACTGGGGCCCTCGGTGGAGCTCCCCATGGGGCCACGAAACGTGTGAGGGGTGCACCGAAATGGGGCGGGGCCGCCATGCGAACTTTGCCACTGAGGCCTTCGGTGGCGGTTCCGATGGGGCCACGAAACGTGTGAGGGGTGCGCCGAAATAGGGCGGGGCCGCCATGCGAACTTTGCAACTGGGGCCCTCGGTGGGGCTCCCTATGGGGCCACGAAGCGTGTGAGGGGTGCACCGAAATGGGGCGGGGCCGCCATGCGAACTTTGCCACTGGGGCCCTCGGTGGGTCCTTGTGGGGCCACGAAACGTGTGAGGGGTGCGCCGAAATGGGGCGGGGCCGCCATGCGAACTTTGCCATTGGGGCCTTCGGTGGAGCTCCCTATGGGGCAGCGGAGCGTTTGAGGGGTGCGCCGAAATGGGGCGGGGCCGCCATGCGAACTTTGCCATTGGGGCCTTCGGTGGAGCTCCCTGTGGGGCCACGAAACGCGTGAGGGGTGTGCTGAAATGGGCGCGGTGGCGCCATGCGAAGTTTGCCACTGGGGCCCTCGGTGGGGCTCCCTGTGGTGGGGCCACGAAACGTGTGAGGGGTGCGCCGAAATGGGGCGGGGCCGCCATGCGAACTTTGCCACTGGGACCTTCAATGGGGCTCCCCATGGGGCCACGAAACGCGTGAGGGGTGTGCTGAAATGGGCGCGGTGGCGCCATGCGAAGTTTGCCACTGGGGCCCTCGGTGGGGCTCCCTATGGGGCAGCGAAACGTTTGAGGGGTGCACCGAAATGGGGCGGGGCCGCCATGCGAACTTTGCCATTGGGGCCTTCGGTGGAGCTCCCTGTGGGGCCACGAAACGTGTGAGGGTGTGCCGAAATGTGGCGGGGCCGCCATGCGAACTTTCCCTTTGGGGCCTTCGGTGGGGCTCCCTATGGGGCCACGAAACGTGTGAGGGGTGCGCCGAAGTGGTGGGCACGCGGGCAATAGAGGCACGACGCTGACGATGACGATGTTGATGACGCCGATGATGGCGATGGTGCCCACGATGATGATGATGGTGGTGATGATGATGATGATGATGATGATGACGATGACGATGACGATGATGATGATGATGTTGTTGATGATGATGATGATGATGATGCTGATGCTGATGCTGATGCTGATGATGATGATGATGATGATGATGATGATGATGATGATGATGATGATGATGATGATGATGATGATGATGATGATGATGATGGAGAGAGGGCGAGGGAGTGGGCAGCGGGAGGAGGAGGAGGAGGAGGAGGAGGAGGAGGGAGACGCGGGGCGCTGTCTCTACAAAACGAGGACCCAACACCACTGGACGGTTGGGAACAAGCATTTCACTTGAGACATTCTTTAAATTTCAATTTGAATCCTGGTTCCCAGGAAAGGAACAATCTATAACACAAAACAAGCGTTTCGCTCGAGATATCTTCAACACATTCTGAAAAACAAGCGTTTCGCTCGGGATATCTTCAAACATAATTCCGCCGGCCCTCTTCCCGCCTCGTCATTTACCGCAAACAACTATGCCGGCCCGCTTCCCGTCGATTCTGGAGGTAAACCTCCAAACCAGAACCCTGGGCAGCCCTGTACAAGAGAACCATGGGCCCGGGAACAATGAGGGACATGCCTGCGTTCGTGCTTTTGCCAGTGGCGCCGCAGGTCTGGGGAGGAAGAGCCCATTCTTTCCAGGATGGTGGGATTGTTTTCCACCGCCACCACCAGAAGTAGGAGGAGGAGGGGGTCCTCCTCCTCCTCCTTCTCCTCCTCCTCCTCCTCGTCCTCCTCCTCTTCGTCCTCCTCCTCTTCGTCCTCCACCTCCTCCTCCTCCACTTCCTTCCCCCTTCCAACTCATGGTGGTGGTGGTGAAAACCAGGGCCATCACAGGAGAGCTAAAAAACAGTACCAGGACACCGACGTCGAGGTCTTCAGCAAACCAAATAGATCTGTAGGACTCGATGTCAATCAGTAACACTCCGGAAGGGTCGGGGAGGGGAGCAGTGTGATCGCAACGGGGCAAAGCGCACGACGGGCCTGCACCGCGAAGCCAGAGGTTCCGCCAGTGCCCCCGGCGTTGCCGCCGCTGAGTTCCGCCTGAAAGCACGGCGCGAAGGGGTATGGAAGAGGAGGATGATGTGCAATGAAGGTGCCCTTAACCTTCTGGGAGGGGACCTGAATTAGGAGGACCAAGAACATTAGGGATGGGGGGTCTGTGTTGCAAATCTCACAATCGAAAAGGTCCAATTGCTTGGGGATAGTCCTAACACCGAGTACCTAAAGTAGACCATGATTGCATTGTGTTATGAAGGTAAGGGGTTGTATCATGCCTATTGAGTATGGGAAAGGAGAAGAACGAAGATCGAGGACGAGGGGAGGAGAAGGACAAAGGCAAACCCGAGATGCATCGCCGATGCTGCAGTCCACCTTTACGTTCTAAGTCTAATTTCTGAGGGGCCCTACACAGATTCCTCTGGACTGCCGGAAGCGCCCCCTGGAAAACAATGGCCTGCCATTAGGGCTATCACCCCGTTTTGAAGATGGCCCGACCTGTAAGACATACACATGAAAATACGTAGCACCCCACACATGCGGATACGAGCGAGGGGGCGGTGGGGACGTCGGCAGTTTGCGAGACTCCAGAGAAGTCCGCCGCAAGCGCCAAAGTTTCACAAATTACACAACGAGCCCGCCGCAGGCGCCGATTTTCTCGTTAAACCAATGTGGGTAGGTCGGTGGGTCGCGGGTGGGTCACAAATGGGTCGCGGGTGGGTCGCTGCTGGGTCGCGGGTGTAGAGGGCAGAACATCCACCCCATATAGTCACCCCGACAAACGAAGCCGTTTAGAAAACGCACACAAGGAACGAATCGAACAGGGCAGGGCTGTTTAGTCGACGCCCAAGGCCGTTTAGTAAACGTCCATTGTCGGGTCCTGGTGGTTTTTCCTCCCTGGAGGGTGGGTCGCGGGGCGGGTCGCGGGTGGGTCGCGATGGGTCGCGGATGGGTCGCGGGGGGTGGGTCGCGGGGCGGGTCGCGGGGTGGGTCGCGGGTGGGTCGCAGGTGGGTCGCGGGTGGGTCGCGGGGTGGGTCGCGGGTGGGTCGCGGGGTGGTTCGCCAGGTGGGTCGCGGGGTGGGTCGCGGGGTGGTTCGCCGGGTGGGTCGCGGGGTAGGTCGCGGGGTGGGTCGCGGGTGGGACGACGACAACAAACAACAACAACAATAATAACAACAACAACAACAACAATAATTTTAAGACTGTTCGCCCTCATCTGCTCGAGTGTCCAATAACGTGTATTTCCCAAACCCTCGATACCCGCCCTCTTCGTCTTCGATCGAACCCCTTTTGGGGGGTATACCTTTCTTCCCTGCAGGCCGGGCCCCGGCAAGCGGCGGGGCGGCCGCGGACCGTCGGCCTGGCCAACGGCAACGCTGATGATCGGCGGGGCGGCCGCGGACCGTCGACCCGACCCCAAGAGGGACGGACAGGGGACCGACCACGACGACGACGACGACGACGACGACGACGGCGACGACGACGTCGACGACGACAGCGACGACGACGACGGCGACGACGACGATGAGCGAAAGCGAGAGCGAGAGAGAACGACAGCAGGGCCACAAGGACACGAAGTAGGCCACGAAGGGCGACAGCGGGGACACGAAGGGAATGCTGATGGGGCCACGAAGAGCGTGAACGAGCGGGGGCCACGAAGGGCATACGTATACTGGGCCGCGGAAGGCAAGGACGGGACCACTGAGGGCAACAACGGGGCCACGAAGGGCAGCGAGGGGGCCACGAAGGGCGACAGCGGGGCCACGAAAAGCAGGAAGGGGGCCACGAAGGGCGACAACGGGGCCACGAAGGGCATGCGCATGGGGCCACGACGGGCGCGAACGATCGGGGGCCACGAAGGGCAGATCATGCGGGGCCACAGAAGGCAACAACGGGGCCACTGAGGGTAGCAACTGGGCCACGTAGGACAGTGAGGGGGCCACAAACGGCGACAGCGGGGCCACGAAGGGCATGCACATGGGACCAGAACGGACGCGAACGAACGGGGGCCACGAAGGGCATACGTATACTAGGCCGCGGAGGGCAAGGACGGGGCCACTGAGGGCAGCAACAGGGCCACGAAGGGCAGCGAGGGGGCCACGAGGGTGACAGCGGGGACACGACGGGCATACATATGGGGCCACCACGGGCGCGAACGAGCGGGGGCCACGAAGGGCAGACATATATGAGGCCACGAAAAGCAGCGAGGAGGCCACGAAGGGCAGCGAAGGGGCCGCGAAGGGGAGCAACGGGGCCACAAAGGGCTGCGACGGGGCCACGAAGGGCAGCGAGCGGTCCACGAAGGGCTACAACGGGGCCACGAAACAAAACGAGGGGGCCACGAAGGGCTGCAACGGGGCCACGAAGGGCAGCGAGGAGGCCACGAAGGGCTACAACGGGGCCGCGAAGGGCAGCGAGGGGGCCACGAAGGGCTGCAACGGGGCCACGACACAAAGCGAGGGGGCAACGAAGGGCTGCAACGGGGCCACGAAGGGCAGCGAGATCCCGATTCTTAGGTAATCTGTGACGGAGTCCTAAACGTGAGCGCGACTCTTGGGTTCCTGGGTCTCGGGAGCGCGGCGCTTGAATAAAGTGCAAGAATTTCCAACCCAAAGACGCTATTTTTCAGTAGAATGCAAGCAAGTCTCCAGCGAGAGCACGATTCCAGAGCGCCGACAAAGCGATTCCTGAATAATTTGTAAGGATGTCCTAAGCGAGAGCGCGACTCCTGAATAAAATGCAAGGAGGTCTCGGGCGGGAGCGGGCGTCATGGCTAAATTGAGAGAAAGTCTCAGGCGGGAGCCGTCGTTGTTGTAGCCCGGGGGCCAACGACACAGTTTGAAAAACAGGGTGCGAGCCCCGGAAAGGGCACTTCAATCGAAAAAAACAATGTGCACCGGACGGGGGGGTCAACAATAATTGTTCTTCAGGAATGAGAATTCAACCACAACAACAACATCAACAACAACATCAACAACAACAATAATCAGTTTACCATCATGCACGATGCTTCCACGCGAAGCATGCGAACATCATGACAACCGTCCACATCATGGGGAACTCTTGTTCTATAGCGGGGTCCGTTATTCCCAGAATGAGGTCTTGCGAACACCGCCGAATGAGGTCTTGCGAACACCTCCTCCGAGGAAATTCAACATATCCCGCCTCGAAAACACATGCCCGCGCCATGCTGCGCCGATGCGAGACCGCCAGTGCAACCCCAGCGAAGCACGGTGATGGTGTGTAAGAACCATGGACCCCCCAGGAATTCGATGCACCACCCCGACATATACACCACGTGACTGCGTTGCTTTTTGCGCAAGCGACAGCGTGCCCCAATGACGCTGCACACGCGACATGTCATCACCGCGAGATTTGACGCACCCTGCAATCCACCTCCGAAACAATAATCCGTTCAACCCCCATGACAAACAAATTCAGCCCGCGGTGGTGATGTATATGCGTGATTCCAGGACTGATGATGATGATGCTGATGATGATGATGACGATGATGACGATGGAAGACCACATTGTTCGTGATAGGCATCTTCATATTCTGCGTTACCGGAACTGACGGTCGCCACACTCAGCCGCGATCGACCAGGATTTCGGCAACGGCGAGCATGAATTCCAATGGCGACGAACATGAAAACGATAGCGATGATGATAACGTTTGGTAGCGACGAGCTCGCCACCGTTCGGACCTTCATTCCCTGTGCGTGTTTCGATATTGCGCGTGTTTTGTTGCGCGACATGATGCAATATGCTCCTCGGTGGTCCTCGCCAAGGAACTATGCCCACGTCCGAACGATGCTAAATGATAGTGATTTTCGGAAACCGTCTTGCATGACATTTCGGTAGCGCCACAGGAACTGTGGGTAGGGTGCAACCGCACTTCGGAGGATCGTACGAAGACGTCGGCTGCTCGTCCGTTACCAAGATTCGCGACCCGATGCGGCATGTCGGTCGCATCCGTTTCGTCCAAAACAGTAGCGAACATTTTCGGTAACGGATGATCTGGGTGGTGCAGCTTCTCACCCGAGATCCGCTTTGGACGGACCTTTTGCCCGAAAGCAGCCCCCAAGGCCGAGAATCAAAAATACCCAACAATACCAGAACCCTCCTGTTGGCGGGAGCCAATGCTGGGCCACCTCAGACCCCCGGCTGGCTCCAAAAAGCCAGCGTCAAAATCCCTCGAACATCACGACCGGGAAGAACCGGAGAGGGAGGGGGGCGATCGCGCCGCGACGGATGACGTGAACTGCTCCGCGGTCACGGTAGCCAGCGCCCCCTGCACGGAGCTGCCCTCCGTTTCCTCCTTCGGACCATGGTTCAACCGCACGGATGCCGCGGTCCTCCTTCCACCCGCCCTCACCCTTGCGCCTCCCCCTCCCGCACCCTCTCCCCTCCCCTTTCTGCTCCACCTCCCCCCCCACTATCTACATCCCCGTCCCCGTTTCCGTCCTCTTCCTATTCCGCCGCCTCCTCCTCCTCCTCCTCCTCCTCCTCCTCCTCCTCCTCCTCCTCATCCTCCTCCTGCTCCTCCTGCTCCTCCTCCTCGGGCTGCGCGCGCGGCTCTCTCCCGCGGCCCGAGCAGTTGCGTTGGGAGCCGGCGCAGACCCCAACCCAGGCGCGGCGGCGAGCCGCCCCCAAGGAGGAAGGGGTGCGCCAGCCGGGGCCTCCACCTCGCTTGCAAGGGAGCGCGGCGGCCGACCGCGAGCTCTGCGCCGCTCCTCCTCTTCCTCCTCCTCCCTCCCCCTCCTCACCCTCCTCCTCCTCCTCCTCCTCCTCCTCCTCCTCCTCCTCCTCCTCCTCCTCCCCCGTCCCCCACACCCGTCCTCGTCGTCCTCATCCTCGTCCTCTTCCTCGTCTTCCTCCTCCTTTTCTCCTCCTCCTCCTCCTCCTCCTCCTCGCCTCCTCCTCCGCCTCCGCCTCCTCCTCCTCCTCCTCCCCCCTCCTCCTACCTCACGCTCGTCGTTTTCCTCCTCTCGCCCGCATCTTCCTCCACTGCCTCCCCTTCCCAGATCTACAATTACTCAATATGAATACTACTCTCCCTCTTCCCCTGATGGCGTGCTGGGAGTGGCCGACCCCCCCCCCCCCCCCGCGTACTGTTTTTTACACACAGGATTCCCGGGAATTGGGTTTTCGCCTGCGTTTTTTCCAAAATGCTGCTCTCGCTGAGGCGCCGGCCTCATTTCTGCTCCCGAATCGTTCCGAATCGTGCTCCCGCTGCAGCGTGGGCCTCATTTTCGGATCGGTGTTTGGCCTCCGTCGTTCAGGATGGCGTTCTCGCCCCAGCGCGGGCCTCTTTCTCGCGCGCCCATCCGCCCGCCACCACCGCGCCGCACCCACCACCACCACCACCACCACCACCACCACCACCACCACCACCACCACCACCACCCACCACCAGCACCAGCACCAGCACCACCAGCACCAGCACCAGCACCACACCACACACCAGCCACCACCACCACCACCACCACCACCACCACCACAACCACGCACACACGCACGCACGCACGCACGCACGCGCACCACCACCCACTGCGCACGCGCGCGCGGAGCCACAGGTCCGCTACGACACGCGTCCGCGGATAGAGAAAATCAGCGCCATGGTAAGGGATGGGAGGGAGGGGTAGGACGTCAGATATGACGCGAGCGCACCTAGCTTGTCCTCCTCCCCCTTCCCCTCCTCCTCCTCCTCTGCCTCCTCCTCCTCCTCCTCTTCCTCCTCCTCCTCCTCCTCCTCCTCCTCCTCCTCCTCCTACTCCTCCCACTCCCCTCCCCTTTCCCACCACCCTGCGTCTCCTCCCTCCGCCTCCTCCTTCTTCTGACAGTCCGTCCTCCCTTCCTCCCTCTCTTTCCTCCTCGTTCGCCGTCCGCAGTCCTCATTACTTTCGTCGCTCATCTTCATCATTTCCTCCTCTATTCCCCTTCCAATTGTCTCTCATCCTGCTCCTCCCCCTCTTCTCCTACCCCTTCTCTCCGATCCCCCCCACCCTTCCCCTGCTCGGCGTTTCCGTTCGCCCCCTTCTCCCACCGCCCGTCATCCTTATGTTGCTCTTCATACTTGTCCCTCGCGACATGGTTGTATTGCGACTCCCCCCTCTCTTTCTTCCTCATCCCTCCCTTTTCCAACCTCCTCCTCATCATCAAATTTCCCCCACTCCCCCTCCCTCTTCCCTCCTCCTCCTCCTCTCCCCTCCCTCCTTGTCCCCCTCATCTGGACCTTCCTAGTGCTCTGGAAGAGCCCAGGGGGATCATGCCGCCCCCCTTTTGGGACTGCCCAGCGTCCTCCACGGTGATGGAATAGTCGACCTGCCGGGCACAGCGCCAATTGCCCCCCGCCCGGTCCCGGCGGCCCCTCAGGAGGTTTGACGTCGTCGTGTTTTGCTCCTCATACTCCTCCTCCTGCTCCTCCTCCTCCGCCTCCCAGATTTCGTTCGCTACCAACCTCGTCCTCCTCCTCCTCCTCCTCCTCCTCCTCCTCCTCCTCCTCCTCCTCCTCCTCTGCCTCCCAGACTTCCTTCGCCACGGACATCCTCCCATTCCACCTGCCCCCCTCTCCTCCTCCCAGAGATTCCTTCGCACGAACAAATCACGACGATCAGATGATGCAAGTTTGAATCTTTGGGGGCCCATTTGCGACTCCAGGAACATCAAAAACTTCGTCGCCAAGGCTGGACCCCTCAAGAGCTCCTCCGCTCTGGTCCACCAGTGCATTCCCCGACAGCTAAGAGTGTTTGTGGTGAGCGCCGGCGTGGGGGTCGCGAGCGGCAGGGCGTGCCGGGAGCGAGCGCGGGACACAGCGGACGAGAAGAGCGCGGCCACGGAGGAGGAGGAGGGGGAGGGGGAGGAGGAAATAGCCCAATCGCCGAGAGTCGGCGAGTGAGCGGCACGGAGGACAGCTTGGGCACACGCAGTCCACTCGCACAACATACAATCAAAACTGATAGTAAGGATTCGCGATGAGGATGCAAGCCCCTTGGACGCGCATTCCGAGGCTCCTCGAGCGGGGCTGGTTTTCGAAAGGGGTTAAGAATGGACCGAGGAGGCAAGGATGCAAGGGTACCCTCGGGATGGGGAAAACCAAAAGATATCGGCACCCCTGTGGTAGGCCTGTGCACAGCCTATGATAGGCCTGTCGCGGAGCGCCAGCATCCAAGAGGCTCCCAAGAGGCCCACAAAAGGCCTGTGGTAGGCCTGTGCACACCCTGTGCACAGCCTTTACACAAGCCTGTGGTAGGCATGCGCCCAGACCCCCGACGTCGCGACTTTGTTCACAATGTCGACCCCCAAAGGTCTGGACCCCTTCCCCGGGACCGGTTTTTCGCCCTGAGTTGTCTTTGTTGATGGTCCCGAGGCCCGGGAAGGGCCCCCGGATGTCAAAAATAGGGAAAAACCTCCCGTCATGATTTTTTTTACAGCGCGAGGAGGTCCGGGTACTCAACCTATGCATCGGCCTGTCGCGGGGCGCCGGCCCCCAGAGAGGCTCCAGAGAGGCCCGCCACAGGCCTGTGTACAGGTCTGTGGCAGGCCTCTGCACAACCTGTGCACAGGCCTGTGGCGGAGCGCCGGCCCCCAGAGAAGCCCTCCCAGAGGCCCATCCTCCTCCTCCTCCTCCTCCTCCTCCTCCTCCGCCTCCTCCTCCTCCGCCTCCTCCTCCTCCTCCTCCTCCTCCTCCTCCTCCTCCTCTTGTGCACAGGCCTGTGGTAGGCTTGGACACAGCCTATCCATAGACCTCTGGAGCAGGGACGCACCGCCTACGAGAGAGCCTGTCCAGGCCTATGAATATTGCCTGTGCGTAGACCTATGTATTGGCCGATGCAGAGGGTGTGCATCTGCAGCGCAGGAGCTCACAGGCCCTGAAACGGCCGATCGACAGGCCTGTCATAGGCCTGTGGACAGGCTGTGCACAGGCCTATTATAGGCCTATCGACAAGCTGTACAAAGGCCCAGAGTAGCACGATGCAAGCCCATCGATTGGCTGTGCATAGGCCTGAAGTAGCCCGATGCAAAGGATGTAGCAGGCCCTACGGCGCAGGCTACCATAGGCCTATGCTCAGCTCATGCATAGGCCTACCAGAGGCCTATGGACTGCCTGTCCACAGACCACTGGTAGTCCTCTGGACAACCTGTGAATAGGCCTATAGGAACCTATCATAGGCCGTACATCGCCTATCATCGGGATTGTTGATTGGGAGGGGGCCACACGACGGCCCATGACCCCATCCAATACGGCCCCACGATCCAAGACGGCACCAAACGAAAATTGAACGACTGCCGAAGCCTCCCCACGACCTTCCAAGATGGCTCCAATAGACCCCAATCAAGCCTAACCATCCCACAAAAACGAAATGCGGCGAAACGACCCCGAGGAAGCCTCCAAGAGGAACAGCGATAAACTGACAACGCCAGTTACCTCCCTGTCGCGCTAGCTTTTGAGTCGCCTGCTGCCACGAACAGGGTTGCGGAAATAAGCGACAACACAAACCGATACAACCCGATGAGAAACAATCCAACAGCACTGACCAGCCCCAATCATCGTCGTCCTCCTCATACGCCTCGTTCTCATCCTCCTCCTCATGCGGCCCGCTCTGGACAACACTCGTGAAACAATATTGGCATGCCTTGGGTAGGCGACTTGGACTTCCGCGGGCTTCTGCTTGCCTTCTGCCACCTTCCGCCGAACATAAGAAGTCAACCTCTCGATGCATCGAAAGCAAAGGCTTTTGCTTGATGGTCTTATTTGGACGCGAGCTCGAATCGAGCGCTCACTCCCTCGTGCTACATCGCAATGTGACAAATGAACGACGATCAAACACAGGTATTACGCGAGACGACGTAGCGACCTTACACCGCAGCTTACGCGGGCCGCCAGCGCGGCACGCCACAATGGAGACGAGGGCGCTTACGCGCGACCTTACGCGGGCAGCTTACGCGCCAATGCCGGCGCAGACGACCCCTATTTTTTGCGTCGCTCAAGTAGGGACTGAGCGAGGGACCGAACAACGGAGCGAGGGCCAGTGAACGACCAACGGCGGAGGGACAACGACCGCGGGAGACACCGAAGCCCGAAACCACGCATGGGCACTAAAGCAAACAAGCAACCAGCAGGCAGTGGGCACTGCATAAGAGATCTTCACGTGCTGGGGATGTCTTGTACTGGGGTACCCCATGTGGGCGACGACAAGAACCAGGTCTTACGCGAGATGGCGTGGCGATCTTACGCTGCGGCTTACACGGGCCGCCAGCGCGGCGCGCTACGTTTGAAGCGAGGGCGCTTACGCGCCACCTCACGCGGGCAGCTTCCGCGCGAACGTCGGTGCAGACGACCCCCCTGTGTTCAGCGTCGCCGGAAAGCTGATGAAGTCTGTTGCCGGAGTACCCCATGTGGGGAGTGTTTTGGGGGGGGGAAGGGGGGTTCCTGCTCGCACCTGGATCTCGGCCTGGTCCGCAGAGCCCAGCCTGATCTGCGCCAAGCTTACCTTGCGACCACGACCTGAAGAGCCAGCGCCAGTCACCACAGAGAGCGTCACCACGACCTCTGCCTCCGCGACGCCGGCCTGCTCAGCAATAGAGCGCTGGAAGGCCGCCTTGACCGAGGAGTCGCTGACGAAAGCCTCGGCATCGGCAGAAGGCACTTTGACTTGGAAGCTGCCCTCGACCTTGGCCTGCCTGACCTTGGGCGTTGGAGCTGACCCGAATGTCGGTGAGGGCGTCGAAATGGGCGTAGGATTGGGCGTGGCGACGGGCTCCCAAGGAAATTTGGGCGTTGGGGCCACTCCGATTGTCGGCGAGGGCGTAGGATACGGCGTCGGCTCAAAGCCTTGATGCGTCGGAGCAGGCGTCGGATGCTCGGTGGGGCAGGTCCAGACGCAGAAATCTCCGCCGTTGTACGCCTCGCAATCTGCCGGGGAGGACACTGCGCCAGCGTTCCAGAGGTGGCAGCACTTGGGGTCGGTGGGATCGACGCCCACGCAGCAGGCGTCCTCGCAGCTGGGCGTCGGGGACGGCGTGGGCCACCTTGTCGGAGCGGGCGTCGGGTCCTGGCCCTCCGGCGTGGGCGAGGGCGTGGGCTCCTTCGTCTGCTCTGTCGGGGACGGCGTGGGCCACCTTGTCGGAGCTGGCGTCGGGTCCTGGCCCTCCGGCGTGGGCGAGGGCGTGGGCTCCTTCGTCTGCTCTGTCGGGGACGGCGTGGGCCACCTTGTCGGAGCGGGCGTCGGGTCCTGGCCCTCCGGCGTGGGCGAGGGCGTGGGCTCCTTCGTCTGCTCTGTCGGGGACGGCGTGGGCCACCTTGTCGGAGCGGGCGTCGGCTCGTGGCCCTGCTTCGTCGGAGCGGGCGTCGGGTCCTGGCCCTCCGGCGTGGGCGAGGGCGTGGGCTCCTTCGTCTGCTCTGTCGGGGACGGCGTGGGCCACCTTGTCGGAGCGGGCGTCGGGTCCTGGCCCTCCGGCGTGGGCGAGGGCGTGGGCTCCTTCGTCTGCTCTGTCGGGGACGGCGTGGGCCACCTTGTCGGAGCGGGCGTCGGGTCCTGGCCCTCCGGCGTGGGCGAGGGCGTGGGCTCCTTCGTCTGCTCTGTCGGGGACGGCGGGGCCACCTTGTCGGAGCGGGCCGTCGGGTCCTTGGCCTCCGGCCGTGGGCGAGGGCGTGGGCTCCTTCGTCTGCTCTGTCGGGACGGCGTGGGCCACCTTGTCGGAGGCGGGCGTCGGCGTTACTGGCCCTCCGGCGTGGGCGAGGGCGTGGGCTCCTTCGTCTGCCTCTGTCGGGACGGCGTGGCCACCTTGTTCGGAGCGGGGCGTGGGTCTGGCCCTCCGTCGTGGGCGAGGGCGTGGGCGCCTTCGTCTGCTCCGTCGGGGGACAGCGTGGGCCACTTGTCGGGAGAGGGCGTCGGTCCTGGCCCTCCGGCGTGGGCGAGGGCGTGGGCTCCTTCGTATTGCTCGTAGGGACGGCGTGGCGGCCACTTGTCGGAGCGGGCGTCGGGTCCTGGCCCTCCGGCGGGCGAGGGCGTGGGCTCCTTCTCTGTCTGTCGTGGGACGGCGTGGGCCACCTTGTCGGAGCGGGCGTCGGGTCCTGGCCCTCCGGCGTGGGCGAGGGCGTGGGCTCCTTCGTCTGCTCTGTCGGGGACGGCGTGGGCCAACCTTGTCGGAGCGGGCGTCGGGTCCTGGCCCTCCGGAGTGGGCGAGGGCGTGGGCTCCTTCGTCCTGCTCTGTCGGGGACGGCGTGGGCCACCTTGTCGGAGCGGGCGTCGGGTCCTGGCCCTGCTTCGTCGGAGCAGGCGTCGGGTCCTGGCCGTCTTGCGTCGGAGCAGGCGTCGGATGCTCGGTGGGGCAGGTCCAGACGCAGTTCGATTCACCAACTGCGTTGGTATAAGCCTCGCAATCTGCGGGTGTGGCCGCCAAGCCGAGGTGCCAGAGGTTGCAACACTCGGGGTCGTGGGCGGCGATCGTACCCACGCAGCAGGAGTCCTCGCAGCTGGGAGTCGGGGACGGCGTGGGCCACCTTGTCGGAGCGGGCGTCGGGTCCTGGCCCTCCGGCGTGGGCGAGGGCGTGGGCTCCTTCGTCTGCTCTGTCGGGGACGGCGTGGGCCACCTGTCGAGCGGCGTCGGGTCCTGGCCCTCCGGCGTGGGCGAGGCCGTGGGGCTCCTCGTCTGCTTCCGTCGGGGACGGCGTGGGCCAACCTTGTGTCGGAGCGGGCGTCGGGTCCTGGCCCTCCGGCGTGGGCGAGGGCGTGGGGCCTCCTTCCGACTGCTCGCATCGGGGACTGCGTTGGCCACATCTTTCGGAGCGGGCGTCGGGTCCTGGCCCTCCGGGCGTGGGCGAGGGCGTGGGCTCCTTCGTACTGCTCTGCGGGGACGGCGTGGGCCACCTTGTCGGAGCGGGCGTCGGGTCCTGGCCCTCCGGCGTGGGCGAGGGCGTGGGCTCCTTCGTCTGCTCTGTCGGGGACGGCGTGGGCCACCTTGTCGGAGCAGGCGTCGGGTCCTGGCCCTCCGGCGTGGGCGAGGGCGTGGGCTCCTTCGTCTGCTCTGTCGGGGACGGCGTGGGCCACCTTGTCGGAGCGGGCGTCGGGTCCTGGCCCTGCTTCGTCGGAGCAGGCGTCGGGTCCTGGCCGTCTTGCGTCGGAGCAGGCGTCGGATGCTCGGTGGGGCAGGTCCAGACGCACATATCTCCGCCGTGGTACGCCTCGCAATCTGCTGGGTTGGTCACTAAACCAAGGTGCCAGACGTCGCAGCATTCAGGATCGTTAGGATCGATGCCCACGCAGCAGGCGTCTCCACAGCTGTGGGTCGGAGATGGCGTGGGCCACCTTGTCGGGGCGGGCGTCGGCTCGTGGCCCTGCTTCGTCGGAGCCGGCGTCGGGTCCTGGCCGTCTTGCGTCGGAGCCGGCGTTGGATGCTCGGTGGGGCAGGTCCAGACGCAGAAATCTCCGCCGTTGTACGCCTCGCAATCTGCCGGGGAGGACACCACGCCAGCGTTCCAGACGTTGCAGCACTTGGGGTCGGTGGGATCGACGCCCACGCAGCAGGCGTCCTCGCAGCTGGGAGTCGGGAACGGCGTGGGCCACCTTGTCGGGGTGGGCGTCGGCTCGTGGCCCTGCTTCGTCGGAGCAGGCGTCGGGTCCTGGCCGTCTTGCGTCGGAGCCGGCGTCGGATGCTCGGTGGGGCAGGTCCAGACGCACAAATCTCCGCCGTGGTACGCCTCGCAACTTGCGGCAGTTGGCACCAAGCCGTTGTACCAAGCGTCGCAGCACTCTGTGTCGCCGGGAAAGACGCCCGTACAGCAGGCGTCTTCACAGCCAGTATCTGACGTGGGCGAGGGCGTGGGCTCCTTCGTCTGCTCCGTCGGGGACGGCGTGGGCCACCTTGTCGGAGCGGGCGTCGGGTCCTGGCCCTCCGGCGTGGGCGAGGGCGTGGGCTCCTTCGTCTGCTCCGTCGGGGACGGCGTGGGCCACCTTGTCGGAGCGGGCGTCGGGTCCTGGCCCTCCGGCGTGGGCGAGGGCGTGGGCTCCTTCGTCTGCTCGTCGGGGACGGCGTGGGCCACCTTGTCGGAGCGGGCGTCGGGTCCTGGCCCTGCTTCGTCGGAGCAGGCGTCGGGTCCTGGCCGTCTTGCGTCGGAGCAGGCGTCGGATGCTCGGTGGGGCAGGTCCAGACGCACATATCTCCGCCGTGGTACGCCTCGCAATCTGCTGGGTTGGTCACTAAACCAAGGTGCCAGACGTCGCAGCATTCAGGATCGTTGGGATCGATGCCCACGCAGCAGGCGTCTCCACAGCTGTGGGTCGGAGATGGCGTGGGCCACCTTGTCGGGGCGGGCGTCGGCTCGTGGCCCTGCTTCGTCGGAGCCGGCGTCGGGTCCTGGCCGTCTTGCGTCGGAGCCGGCGTTGGATGCTCGGTGGGGCAGGTCCAGACGCAGAAATCTCCGCCGTTGTACGCCTCGCAATCTGCCGGGGAGGACACCACGCCAGCGTTCCAGACGTTGCAGCACTTGGGGTCGGTGGGATCGACGCCCACGCAGCAGGCGTCCTCGCAGCTGGGAGTCGGGAACGGCGTGGGCCACCTTGTCGGGGCGGGCGTCGGCTCGTGGCCCTGCTTCGTCGGAGCAGGCGTCGGGTCCTGGCCGTCTTGCGTCGGAGCCGGCGTCGGATGCTCGGTGGGGCAGGACCCAGACGCACAAAATCCTCCGCCGTGGTAAGCCTAGCAACTTGCGGCAGTTGGCACCAAAGCCGTTGTACAAGCGGCGCAGCACTACTGTGTCGCCGGGAAGCGCAGTACAGCGGCGTCACACAGCAGTATCTGACGTGGGGCGAGGGCGTGGGCTCTTCGTCTGCTCCGTCGGGGACGGCGTAGGGCACATTGTCGGAGCGGGCCGTCGGGTCCTGGCCACGGGGTCGTGGGCGAGGGCGCGGGGCTCTTGGTCTGCTCGTCGGGGACGGGTGGCACCTTGTCGGAGAGGCGTCGGGTCCTGCCAAAAGCGTGGGGCGAGGGCGTGGGCTCCTTCGTCTGCTCTGTCGGGGACGGCGTGGGCCACCTTGTCGGAGCGGGCGTCGGGTCCTGGCCCTGCTTCGTCGGAGCAGGCGTCGGGTCCTGGCCGTCTTGCGTCGGAGCAGGCGTCGGATGCTCGGTGGGGCAGGTCCAGACGCACATATCTCCGCCGTGGTACGCCTCGCAATCTGCTGGGTTGGTCACTAAACCAAGGTGCCAGACGTCGCAGCATTCAGGATCGTTGGGATCGATGCCCACGCAGCAGGCGTCTCCACAGCTGTGGGTCGGAGATGGCGTGGGCCACCTTGTCGGGGCGGGCGTCGGCTCGTGGCCCTGCTTCGTCGGGAGCCGGAGTCGGGTCTGGCCGTCTGCGCGGATCCGGTCGGATGCGCGGAGGGGTAGGTCAGACGGAAATCTCCGCGTGACGCTCGCAATCTGCGGGGAGGACACCACCGCCAGCGTTCCAGACGTTGCAGCAATGGGTCGGTGGAGCGACGCCCACGCAGCAGGCGTCTCGCAGCTGGGAGTCGGGAACGAGGGGGGTGGGGTAGCGGGGGCCACCTTGTCGGGGCGGGCGTTCGGCTCGAGGGCACTGCTTCGTCGGAGCAGGGCCGGGTACACGGCCGTCTTGCGTCGGAGCGGCGTCGGATGCTCTCGGTGGGGCAGGTCCAGACGCACAAATCCTCCACGTGGTACGCCGCGCAACTTGCGGCAGTTGGCCCCAAAGCCGTTGTACCAAGCGTGCGCAGCACTTCTGTGTCGCCGGGAAAATACGACCGTACAGCAGGCGTCTTCACAGCCAGTATCTGACGTGGGCGAGGGCGTGGGCTCCTTCGTCTGCTCCGTCGGGGACGGCGTGGGCCACCTTGTCGGAGCGGGCGTCGGGTCCTGGCCCTCCGGCGTGGGCGAGGGCGTGGGCTCCTTCGTCTGCTCCGTCGGGGACGGCGTGGGCCACCTTGTCGGAGCGGGGCGTCAGGTATGGGCCCTCCGGGTGGGCAGGGCGTGGGCCCCCTCGTCTGCTCCGTCGGGGACGGCGTGGGCCACTTGTCGGAGCGGGCGTAGGGTCCTGGCCCTCGCGCTGGGCGAGGGGCGTGGGCTGCACTTCGTCTTGCTCCGTCGGGGACAGTTGGGCCACCTTGTCGGAGCGGGCGTCGGGTCCTGGCCCTGCTTCGTCGGAGCAGGCGTCGGGTCCTGGCCGTCTTGCGTCGGAGCAGGCGTCGGATGCTCGGTGGGGCAGGTCCAGACGCACAAATCCCCGCCGTGGTACGCCTCGCAATCTGCTTGGTTGGTCACTAAACCAAGGTGCCAGACGTCGCAGCATTCAGGATCGTTGGGATCGACGCCCACGCAGCAGGCGTCTCCACAGCTGTGGGTCGGAGATGGCGTGGGCCACCTTGTCGGAGCGGGCGTCGGCTCGTGGCCCTGCTTCGTCGGAGCCGGCGTCGGGTCCTGGCCATCTTGCGTCGGAGCCGGCGTTGGATGCTCGGTGGGGCAGGTCCAGACGCAGAAATCTCCGCCGTTGTACGCCTCGCAATCTGCCGGGGAGGACACCACGCCAGCGTTCCAGACGTTGCAGCACTTGGGGTTGGTGGGATCGACGCCCACGCAGCAGGCGTCCTCGCAGCTGGGAGTCGGGAACGGCGTGGGCCACCTTGTCGGGGTGGGCGTCGGCTCGTGGCCCTGCTTCGTCGGAGCAGGCGTCGGGTCCTGGCCGTCTTGCGTCGGAGCCGGCGTCGGATGCTCGGTGGGGCAGGTCCAGACGCACAAATCTCCGCCGTGGTACGCCTCGCAACTTGCGGCAGTTGGCACCAAGCCGTTGTACCAAGCGTCGCAGCACTCTGTGTCGCCGGGAAAGACGCCCGTACAGCAGGCGTCTTCACAGCCCGTATCTGCCGTGGGCGAGGGCGTGGGCTCCTTCGTCTGCTCCGTCGGGGACGGCGTGGGCCACCTTGTCGGAGCGGGCGTCTCGACGCGCCTCCGCTAGGTGGGGCGACGGCTTGGGCTCTTCGTCTGCTCTGCCTGGGACGGCGGCCGCCACCTTGCGGAGGCGGGGGCGATAGGGTTTTTTTTCTTTTTTTTCCCCTGGGGGGGGGGCCCCCCCCTGTTTTAATTTTTTTTTCCGCTGGCCCCCTTGAGGGCGTAAGGCGGAGTGTATGTATGCCTCTTGCCTGCTGGACGGCTGCCTTGCTTGTGCCTACCGTTTCCTCTCTCGTCCCGTACAGTCGAGGTCGATTGGAGAGGACATCCGAGAGGACACGAGACCCTTCCGAGGGCCACATTGCGAATGCAGAGGGCATGGGTCGCGAAACACAGGGCGCAAAGGTGCTCTTGGCTTGGCAGGATCGATCTGCTAATCAGCCTCGACTGTGCACCGTTTCTTGCCTCTTGTGCCTCGAACCCTGCCCTGCTGTCAACCCGGAGGGGCCCGCGGCGTCACCGAAGCGACCCAGGGAGGGGGTCCCTCGGCTCCAGCGCCGCCCTGGGTTGCCCCGGGGTTCCTGTTCGGACGCCACAGAGGAGCCCAAGAAGCCTCCAGGACGGCCTCAAGTGCCCTCGAAGAGAGCCTCGGGAGCCCAAGACGGCCGAAGGTGGCCCAACGTTGCCCCCAAGATGTCCCGGGAGGGCACCAAAACGGTTCCAAAAAGCATATCCTATTTGATAGCCAGACAGCTCGCCTTTTCCCCTCCACGCCAGGCAAGCGCAAAGGGGCAAGCGTTCCTGCGGGCGCAGAAAAGTCCTTAAGACGAAGTTACGTCACTGGAGCCAACCTCCAACCGACCTTTTCGCAACCGCTCGCCGAACACTGCACTCAAATGCCCTCACCCGCCCGCCAAAAAACGCTACCACTCAATATCCTGACCCACCCGCCCAAACTTATCACCCAACTATCTTCTTCACCCACCCACCCAAAGTTGCCACCCAAATACCCTGACCCAAACGTCTTATGCTACAACCTGAATGTCCTCACCCACTCGCTGGCGAAAGAACAACCGACCCTTAACAACTGCATGTAATTAACGTTGGTGATAAGCCTGTCTATGCACGATCCGTGTGAGGTATGTGATGGAATGGGAAGGGGGCACATGTACACGGGGGCAGTAGTTGGACCTCCCACAAGGGTCACGAAACGTGTGATGGGTGTGCCGGCATGTGCGTTTGAACGCATGGAAGCTTTCCCACTGAGACTGTGGGTGGGCCTCCCGTGAGAAGTGTGCTGTCGCGCGCGGAATTGTACACCTCGTGAGGGCTGTGCCGAAATGGGCTCGGTGCCGCCGCATGGACCCTGCCACTGAGGCCATGGGTCGAGCTCCATTTGGAGCCGCGATCATTGCGAGAGCTGCGCCGACGTCTGCAGCGCCGCCATGCGGACCCTGCCCCTGGGGCCGCATGTGGAACTCACTGTGAGGTTACGAAGCAATCGAGGAGTGCGCCGGAGTGGACGGCGCCGCCATGCGGACCCTCACACTGAAGCCGTGTGTGGAACTCCCTATGCGGCAACGGTCCTTTGAAAAGTGCGCTGACTTGGGCGGCGCCGCCGTACGGACCCTGCCGCTGGTGCCAGTGGTGGAGCTCCCTAGAAGATCGCAATCGTTGTGAGGGGTGCGCTGCAGTGGACGTTTCCGCCACGCGGACCCTGCCACTGGGACCGCAGGTGGAGCCCTCGATGGGGCCACGGTCCTCGTGATGGCTGTGCCGACATTGGCTCTGTGCAGCCATGCGTCGGCGACTGATTGCAAAAAAAAAACCAAGGATTGCAAAAAAAACCAAGGATTGCAAAAAAAAATGCAAAAAAAAAGAGATTGCAAAAAAAAAACCGTCGTTTTTTTTTTTTTTTTTTGCAAAAGAGGCCGTCGGTGTAGCCCCCGTCTGAGGCCACGACGAGTGCGACTGGTGCACCGAAGTGGGCGCAGTGCCGCCCAACGGCGGCGCACCCTGAGGCTGTGCGCGAAGCTCCTCCAGGGGCAACTAGACGTGCGGAGAGTGTGCCGAAATCGGCGTGGCGCCGCCATACGTCTTCGCCCACGGAAGCATGCGCCCGCGGAGGCCGCAAATGGAGCTTCCTGCGGAGCCACAAGCTGTGTCAAGGTGTACCGACATGGGCGCGGTACCACCATGTCTGCGTGTCTGCGCCACCCGAGACCGTGGGTGGAATTCCCATCAGGCCACGAAGCGTGTGCAGGGTGTGCCGAGATGTGTGCGGTGCCACCCTACGGCTGCGCCCGCTGAGACCGCAGGTGTAGCTACCTGGTACCTATGAGGCCGCAAAGAAAGAAGCGTGTGAGAAGTGTGCCGAGATTGGGGGCACAAAGCGAGGAGAGGAGAGGAAGAAAGAGGAGGAGGGTGGAGGTGATCAAGTGGGGCGCGGCGCTGATGATTCAAAGCGAGAACGCGGCACCGCAGGATGGTTGGGAAGTACAACCTGCAGTTACTCACCAGCCAAGGCAAGGTCCACCTGAAACTAACTATACAGTATGCATGTACTCTCTTGCCCACTCAGAGCTGCAACTCGAACACCCTCACAGGCCACACGCAGGAGCAACCCTGGGTGAAAGTGACCCTCGGTGCGCAGCTTTTTGGGGACAGCGGAGGGATCAGCACACAAGCGCGCAAGACGCATCGCATCGCGTTCGGCGATCGGGGGGCCCCAATGGGCCCACGCCAAAGGTCACTCCGGCGAAGGGTCTCTCTTGCGTGTAGCCGCCCCCACCCACCGGCCCGAGACTGCAACCCACTTCAAGGGCCCCAGACACCGATCTGTTAGATGTCTTGGAGGCGCTCGCCCCCAGGGTGCCACCAACAGGCTGGCCCAGATGGGCAGATGGGCACCATCAATCCACATGTATCGACAATATTGCCCCAGATGATCCAACCAGGCCGCAAGAAAGCTGTTGGCAGCGGGCACGAAGGGGTATGGGGGAGGGGGGAAGGCTTCTTCAGATCTGGTTGACCCAAGAGGGGGTCCAGCTGAAAGGGGATGGTGCAAGAAGTGTGGGGCAATTGTATTGCAAATGTACTGCGCCAGAGAATTGGATTGCATTGTATTGCAACTAACGTACGGGGTCTTACGTTTAAGCGGTTCGTCAACAGAGCAATCTGGTTTTGAAGGAAGCCTTAGGCCAAGACGGCCAAAGGGGGCCTCAAGATGGTCCCAAGATGGCCCATGAGGCCGCCAAGAGGGCCCCAAAACAGCCCAAGAGGGCCCCTGGAAGGGCCCAGAACGGAGAAGACGAGCTGACATCTCCCCCCCGCGATGGCCACGAGAGCCCCCCATGCGCCCCCGAGGCGGCCCGAAGAGGCTTTCAAGAAACCCCCAAGAATCCCCAAAGAAGCCCAGAAGCCCCCCCCCCAGATACCCCTAGGAGCCTTCCAAGAAGCCACTGAGAGGCATCTCAAGCGACCCTCGCATGCGTCCACGAAGCTTCTGACGCACAGCCCAGGCATGGTGGTGGATGGGGCCGGAGGCCACTACAGATTTTCCACGATGGTCACAAAGCTTCACTTCCTCTGAAGGTCGGCGGAACGGCGCAAACCACTTGAATAACAATGCTGCCATCGATGGCGGGCCGACGACAAAACGACAAATCTATCATCGAGCAGCCACGCGAAAACCTAGCAATACACTTGCGCACCGGAATGTATTGCACGCCCCAAATCTGTTGCAATCCCGCAGATCTATTGCACCAAATCTATTGCACCACCCCCTTGTCGCTGGACCCCTTTTGGGTCAACCAGATAAAAAGGAGCCTGCTTCTTAGAAGGCGCCGGCCTTACATCTACAGACAAGGCCCGCGCCTTCCAAGAAGCCTACCCCTTTCCGAATACCCCCCTCTGCGCTTGGTCGAAGTTTACACAAGTGCTGCAATATGATCAGAAATAAACCTGGGGACTGGCGGCTAAGAACATATCCCTCTGGATTGTCGGAGCCGGTGTTGGGTCTCCCTCCTGCGTGGGCGATGGCGTGGGGTCGGTTGTGTCAGCTGTCGGGGCGGGCGTCCTCCATGACGGACACACGCACTCCGGAGCATAGCTTGTGTAGGACGGGGAAAGGAAAATGGGCCAATACAACACTTGCTGCGTCGGCACCCCCCCTGAATAAGCGCACGAATCAAACAACGAATATGCGGGGGGGGCATCGTCATGGCACGTGCACTTCACGCGGCACTCGTTCACCAGGGGGCACCACTCACAGCCGGGAGATGTTGTTCCTGCGCTGGCGCAAGTGGCTGGGCCATGACCTGGGCAGTCGGAGAAGATCTGGATGTCTGGACAGACTGTGCAATTATTGACCACTAGGCCCCATGACGGCGCGGGTGTGGGCGACGTGGGCGGTGCTGTGGGCGAGCCCGTTGGCGAGTCAGTGGGCGAGGCTGTGGGCGAGGCAGATGGTGAGGCTGTGGGCGAGACCGTGGGCGATGGTGTGGGAGAAACTGTGGGCAATAACGTAGGTGTCGCTGTTGGCGATGCTGTTGGCAAGGGCGTAGGTGAGCCCGTTGGCGAGGCTGTCGGTGAGGCAGTGATGTTTGGTGTGCTGCAGTTGAGGGCTTTGATCACCAGGTTGACAGTGGGTGATGGGGTCGCGTCATTGGTGACACAACCTGTGCAGCTAGTGGCAGTTAGGAGGGACCACCTGGCCGCAGCGGTCATGGATCCCGCCGTTGGATACGCCTCGTACATCCTGGCCGCGAGCCCAGAAATGTGTGGGCAAGCCATGGAGGTGCCCGTGCTGAAGTAAGTATGGGTGTCGCTCCATGGGCCCGTCGAGAGAATGTTCGTGCCGGGAGCATAAGCGTCGATGCAAGAGCCCCAATTGCTGTAACCAGACCTGTCCCATGAGTTCCCCGAAGTCCCACCAAACGCTGCCACTGTGATCGCCGACGAGATCCAAGCGGGATTCCAGAGGCAAGCGTCTTGATTGTAGTTCCCTGCAGCCACCACCACGGTCACGCCATCGGCTACCAAATTATCGATCGAGGTCTCCTCCGCGTAGCTGTTGTAGTTGGCCTGGATACTGATGCTGACTACTGCTGGCCTGTTCCCAGACGATAAGATCCACTGCTCGGCTAGAATGGACCATGTAGTCCAACCAGAACCAGAATTATCGAGAACCTTCATTGCCCAGAGGGTCGCGCCATCCGCGACGCCATACGTCGAGGCCCCCGCCGTGCCCGCGCAGTGGCTGCCGTGGCCATGAAAATCTGCAGCGCACGTTGTGCTGAGGGGAGAGCACACCGTGAGCGTGCCCGGATACGTCCCCGAGGCGGCAACATCTACTCCGGCGAAGGCTCGGCCTCCGAACTCGTTGTGGGTGATGCGAATGCCAGTGTCCAACACATAAACGTGCACCCCAGCGCCCTTTCCCCGGCACACGTCCGCCTCCACGTACTGGATGCCCCATGGGTAGACCGGAGTTTTGGCCTTCCGCTCTGGCCCCGCACTGGACGTCCCTGTATTGGCCAAGCTGTCTTTAACCTTCAACTGGTACTGGTCTTCTTCGACAAACCGCACACGCCCAAGGTGCTTCTCGAGCACCGCGTTGAGCGCCTCTTCCGTCAGGCTCCCCGCCACAAGCGGCATCTGGCCGCTGCTCGGCTTGGTGTGCTGCCCGTCGGCGAACTCCCTGCTGATGCTCGCCAGCTCGCCGTCGGTGGCGTCGTTCGCCAGCACGAGCGACCACTGGCGCACCGCCTTGGCGTCCTCGCCCTCACCGCGGGGCAGGGTGTAGATGGGCACGCCAGGCGATGTGGTCCCGCCAGTTGGCGTACGCGCCTGTGGCGCGGGTAGGCGGCAGCGCGCCACTACCGCCGTCGTCGTCGTCGTCGTGGTCGTCACTGCCGTGGCCGTCGTCGTGGGGGTAGCCGCAGCCGCCGCGCCGGCTGGCCCGCCCGCGCGGAGCTACACGGGGCAGCGGATGACGAAAGCTGGCGATCCAAGGGGGGGGCAGGCAACTGGGAAGGCCAGGGGCCTCTCGGAAAGACGCGCCTCGAGGCTCTCGACGGGGGGGGAACGCAGCGTTCAGGGGAGAGGAAGGGTGGAAACCGAGCAGCCAAACCCACGGCCGATGGTTGAAGTGGGATGCGCACCCCTTCCCCCATCCCCCCTTCCTGCGTGGCAGGGGGGCGCAGGGAGGCCCTTTGGGGTGTCTTGGGGCCCCCTTGGGCCATGTTGGCCCGTCTTGGAGCCCTCTGAGGCCCTCGTCGGCCCTCCTGGCGGCCTTCTGCAGCGCTCTTTGGGCTCTCTTGGGGGCCTCTTGCGGCCCTCTTTGGCCTCTCTTGGGGCTCCCTGTAGCCCGTCTTGAAACCCTCTTTTGGGCTCTCGTGGGAGCCTCTGGGGCCGCATTGCGTGGGAGCCTCTGGGGCCGCATTGAGGCAATCCCAGAAGCCCTCAAAGCTGTTTTCGGCCGGTGTGAACCCGAACGAACGAGAAGGGCAACATCACTTCCAGTTCGGTTTCGGACCCCGCGATTCCAAGATTTTCCAGAAAACCATTCTCTCACCTCCTCACGTTTTCTCCTCCATCTTCCTCGTCTCCCCGTCTCTCTCTCTCTCTCTCTCTTTCTCATTTTCCTTCTCCCTCTTCTTCCTCCCCCTCCCAATCAGAATCACCTTTCGGGGGTCGAATCCCCCGGAGCCATAAGAAAAGCACAACGGAAACAAAACAAGTAATAATTAGCCTGGCGAAGGACCCTACCATATACAGATGTGAATACCGCAATTGTGAATACCATCTTTGCCCGCGCTCCCTATGTGGCCACAGCTTCCCGCCGGAACCCGACATGACCAGGAACACGTTCGTGGCCGTCTTCGCGGGTGCCGACGACGACACGGACGGCGTCCCTCTGACCGAGGAGCAAAAACAGAAGCGGGCTTTGAGAGCCATGAGGGAGGAGGTGGCGTTGCACGTCGACACGGCGGAGTACGACGCCCTGGCGCGGTTGTTGAAGCAATACATCTATGGGGCCACGATCCTCGTGAGGGGTGTGCCGCAATGGCCCGGGGCCGCCATGCGAACCTTGCCACTGGCGCCTTCGCTGGAGCTCCCTATGGGGCCACGATCCTCGTGAGGGGTGTGCCGAAATGCCCCGAGGCCGCCATGCGAACCTTGCCACTGGCGCCTTCGCTGGAGCTCCTATGGGAAATGGCCCGAGGCCGCCATGCGAACCCTGCAACTGGGGGCTGCGGTGGAGCTCCCTATGGGGCCACGATCCTCGTGAGGTGTGTGCCGAAATGGCCCGAGGCCGCCGTGCGCGAACCCTGCCACTCGCGCCGTCGGTGGAGCTCCCTATGGGGCCACGATCCTCGTGAGCCGAAATGGCCCGAGGCCGCCATGCGAACGCTGCCACTAGGGCCTTCGGTGGAGCTCCCTATGGGGCCACGATCCTCGTGAGGGGTGTGCCGAAATGCCCCGAGGCCGCCATGCGAACGCTGCCACTGGGGGTCTTCGGTGGAGCTCCCTATAGGGCCACGATCCTCGTGAGAGGTGTGCCGAAATGGCCCGAGGCCGCCATGCGAACGCTGCCACTGGGGCCTTCGGTGGAGCTCCCTATGGGGCCACGATCCTCGTGAGATGTGTGCCGAAGTGGCCCGAGGCCGCCATGCGAACCCTGCCGCTACGATCCTCGTGAGGGGTGCCGACATGGCCCGAGGCCGCCATGCGAACCCTGAAACTGGCGCCTTCGGTGGAGCTCCCTATGGGGCCACGATCCTCGTGAGGGGTGTGACGACTTGGCCCGAGGCCGCCATGCGAACGCTGCACTAGGGCCTTCGGTGGAGCTTCCTATGGGGCCACGATCCTCGTGAGGGGTGTGCCGAAATGGCCCGAGGCCGCCATGCGAACGCTGTCCACTGGGGCCTTCGGTGGAGCTCCCTATGGGGCCACGGTCCTCGTGAGGGGTGTGCCGACATGGCCCGAGGCCGCCATGCGAACGCTGCCACTGGGCCTTCGGTGGAGCTCCCTATGGGGCCACGATCCTCGTGAGGGGTGTGCCGAAATGGCCCGAGGCCGCCATGCGAACGCTGCCACTGGGGGCCTTCGGTGGAGCTCCCTATGGGGCCACGATCCTCGTGAGGGGTGTGCCGAAATGGCCCGAGGCCGCCATGCGAACCCTGCCACTGGCGCCGTCGGTGGAGCTCCCTATGGGGCCACGATCCTCGTGAGGGGTGTGCCGAAATGGCCCGAGGCCGCCATGCGAACGCTGCCACTGGCGCCTTCGGTGGGGCTCCCTATGGGGCCACGATCCTCGTGAGGGGTGTGCGGAAATGGCCCGAGGCCGCCATGCGAACCCTGCCACTGGCGCCCTCGGTGGAGCTCCCTATGGGGCCACGAAGCGCTGTACTGGCTGGGGGGAGGAGGAGAGGAGGAGGGGGAGGAGGAGAGGAGAGGAGGAGGAGGAGGAGGAGGAGGAGGAGGAGGAGGAGGAGGAGGAGGAGAAGGAGGAGGAGGAGGAGGAGGAGGAGGAGGAGGAGGAAGAACGCGGGGCGACGTCTCTTCAAAACGAGGACCCAACAGCACAGGATTGTTGGGAAAAACAACAAAAAAGCAAGGCAAGGTGCTGGAAGAGTACAGACTGCAAGGCGAACCCGCCCGAAACATTGTTTTTGTTGATCGTTGTTGTTGTTTTATTCCTTGTATTGCGTTCTTTTGGTTCCTGTCGGCACCACCTCTCCCATCCTCACTCGCCTCCTCGCTGCTATCATATTCTCTGGCGCTGAACTCTTCGGGGCTCGAGCCAGTGGCACTGAACCCTTCGGGGCTCGTGCCACGTAGGCTTGGAACGCAGATCCCTTCAAGCCTCGTGCTCTTAATTTACGCGCTCTTGGCGCAAAACGTTTCGGAACTCGTGCCAACCGCGTGGAAGCGCAGAACCCATCGGGGTTCGTGCTCTCATATTCTCTGGCGCTGGCCCCTGTGGGGTTCGTGCCATTGGCGCTGCTCTTGGCGCACAAACCTTCGGGGTACGTGCCAGCCGCGTGGGAGCGCAAAACCCTGCGGGGTTTGTGTTCTCATGTCCTCTGGCGCTGAACCCTTTGGGGCTCGTGCCAGGGATGCCCACGGCGCATAAACCTTCGGGGCTCGTGCAGCGGGGCTTGTTGGTTTGATTCGACCATCAAATGATTGCGTTTGGGACGCAGGAAACTATGGACGTGTTTCGAATATGTCTTCTGTGATTTGGATGTCGCTGGCTTCGGCGCAGCATCCAAAATCTCCATTGGAAAAGCAGGCTCCGCAGAATTCGCACAACGCAACCCAAACCAATATAAACGCAGGGACGCTGACATCTGGCAAACCCCAGCGCGCCGTCACTGCGCCAGAATGCAACCCGAATTCTGGTAGTCATACAGAAAACGATGGGTCCAGGCAGCAACATGAAAACATCTGTTTCGCAGAATGCTTGTAACCCTACCAAAACCATTAGAAACGCAGGAATGCGGAGGCTGACGAGGAGATTGTTTTGCTGGTGCAGCCCAAGTGCTAGACAACAAAACACACATCGGCAGTTTCATGTTTTGAGCGTTTTTTGTTGAGTGCACGCATTATGTGAATTGCGCGTGTTCAATAGTACTCGTTGGATTTACAGTTCGTCCGTCTTGTACTGTGGTTACTTCTCCCCGTCCACAGGTGGTGTTGCAGCTGGTGTTGTTCGTGCTCGTGGTCGCGCTGCTGATGGTAGTGGTGCTGCTGCTGGTGCTGCTCGTGCTTCTGATGGTGCTGCTGCTGGTGCTGCTGCTGGTTGAGCTGCTGCTGGTGCTGATGGCACTGCTAGCGCTGGTGCCGCACTGCTGCTGCTGCTGCTGCTGCTGCTGCTGCTGCTGGTGCCGCACTGCTCACGCGATTTCGTAAAGGACAAGGGCATCCTAAAACGGGATGCCCTCGCAACCCCACAAGGCACGACGCCGACGCTCTGCCATAATGGAGCACCGTCTTATCGATGCCTTCCTCGTTCTCCTTCCACGGAGTTCCGAAGCGCCCGCTCGGCTCAAGCTGCTAGCTCGCGCGCGCCTCTCGCGCCGCCCCTTCCTTCTCGCGGCTGCCATGGCGAGGGGGAGCGCGATCCTTCCCGAGGCCCTCCGCAAGACTCTCGGGGGCGCTGTTCTGGACGAGAGCAGCATCTTCGTCGAGGCCCTCGCGCGCGCCGACGGCACGAAGCCCCGCTTCCGCGCCGGCCTCCCGCGCGGCCACGCTGGGCAAGAGGGGCTGTCGAAGATCGCGGACCTTCCCGCTGCGCCCATGGACGTCCACGCAAGAACGGACATCTCCGACTTTGGGGCCCTGCTGATGGACCGGGCCAACGAGGAGATCCAGGGCCCCGACGGAGAAGCAGGCGGTGCCCTCGCTAACTGGAAGGACCCCCATGGGCAACAGTGCCGCTTCGACGTGGCACAGGACCTTACAGCGAAGTCGAATTTCAGTGGCCTCCCTCCACCGTTCAAGCGCAAGAGCGAGCCTGGCGGGCCGCGCGCCGTTCAGATTTTCGTCGCGGGCGCTGGCGAGGGCAAAGTGCACGTTTTCAAGGGCGCTGGCTCGAAGAGCGAGTTTCAGAAGATGGCCAACTGCGAGCGCGCGCGCCATGGCGCGGGCATCGCGCATCAGCGCGGGAATCAGCGCGGGGCAGGCCGCAATGCGATCTGTCATCTCCTGGGGAAGCTCGGCGGCCTACAGATCCGCTTTCCCGAGCTGACCACCGCGGCGAAGCCTGCCATGCGATCGACCGAGGGGGGTTAAGAAGCAGGAGGGGCACCGCCACATCGAGAAGACGGGCCAGAAGAGCGACAGCCGCGATCAGTTCATGGAGTTCGCGGACAGGGGCAGTAGGGCAGGGGAGCGCGGCGCCATCTGGTTAGCCCCACCGCCCACCTGGCCCCCATCTCCGACCGCGTGGACCTCTGGCCGCCGAGCGATTGCAGCTAGCCAGCCGGCGCCGTTGCCCCCCCCCCCGCCCCCGAGGGGCGAGCGACCCGCAATCCAAAATCTATGGTTGGGAGGAGTCCCGCGTGACCCAGGCGCTTCGAAACCATGCGAGCGGGTGCGTCAAAGCCGAGCACCTCTCTGTCTGGGCGGGCGCGCAGAAGGACTTCGAGCCGCGGTTCATCAACGAGGTGCTCGCGAAGATCCTGCCAGCGCATCGCCGCCGCGGCGCGCTCTGGATAGGGAAAGCCAGGGCGGGTAAGTCGACGGCGTCGAAGACCATTGCGCTCTTGCTGCCCATGCTCGAGATCGATGCCCTCGAAGGCGATGCCGGGGAGGGCGCGCCTGAGCCTTCAGTTGTCGCCGCCAAGCATATTGATTTCTTCAAGGGCGAGCCCGCGAAGACGGTGCTTCCCGCGGTGTCCGACGACGGGGGTTTGCGCGCGCAGGGCGCGTCCGCGTCGATGACCTTCCTCGGCCCGGGCGAGGAGGGCCCCGCCCTGCGGGCGAGGCGGGGCTCGGCGCGTTCGCCCCAGGGGCGCCCCGCCAGGAGGTGAACAACGGCTGCGACAATGCCTTGGAGAAGCTTCTGGAAGCCGATCGGCACCAGGGGGGAGCAAAGGTGATCACGACCCAGCAGCCCATGACTCTCATCGCGCCCTCCCTGAAGCAGATAACGGAGGAAGAGGACGCGAGGGCCCTGCTCGCGAGGGCCCGCGTCGTCGTGACCGGAAACGCGCGCGTGCACTTCCGCATGGCATCCGATGAGTTTCCAGGGGGCGACGTCGCGCCCTTCCACTCATACAGCAAGAAGTCGAAGTCTGACCTCTACAATTACTCGCCCGAGGTGCGCGCGTGCCTCGGCAAACGCAAAGGAGGCCCAGCCTCGCCAAACAACTGCCCGTCCGACTTCCAGGGGAAGACGCGGCGGCCGCCGCGCCGCGCCTGATGCGCGGCGAACAAACGCCCACAACGTCGACCACCCGCGGGGCCTCTCTCTTCGGGCGGCCCGCGCACAGGGTTCAGCCAGATGTCGTGCGCCCGCCAGCGGGCGGTTCAGGCATCGGCGCGGCATCTTCGCGCGGCCTGTCAGGGCCACCTGCGGCCGCTGGCATGGGGCGCGCTGGCGAGCTGAGCGACGTGGACGCGACCGAGCAGAGGGCCATCTACAACGCGATGCAGCAGCAGTTCTTCGAGGGTACCCAGATGGGCAGCGGCTCGCTGGTGGGCCTGATGTCGCCTCCTCGCAAGCGTCTGGCGACGGGCGCCAGGGCCCCCGTCGGGGCGCGGCGGCGAGCTCGGCGACGTGGGCCTGGCTGGACAGGCCGCGATCTACAAGCAGATCCAGCGGGCGTTCTTCAACCAGAACCTGGCGGACTCTGGCGCGCGCGTGGACCTCGCTGCCCCTCCCCGCCGTCGCCTTGGCGCGGCGAGCGGCGACTTGGGCGCGGGGGCCAAGCTCGAGCGCCACCTCGACCTGCGGGGCGACGTCGACCGCGAGCAAGTGGAACAGGCCCTCACGCAGGCGGCAGCGGGCGCCGAGGGCCAAGGCGGCGACGTGACGGATTGAGATGCCGGGCGGGTGCAATGCCCAAGAGGGGACAGCGCCGCCGCTTTCGGCTCGGGCTCTGATGGGGCGCGCGCCGCCGAGGGGGCGCGCGCTGCCGTGCCCCAGACGAGCCGCTAGCGAGGTGCATTGCCACTCGCAGATCGGTTTCTGCTTGGCGCACGAGCGCCCTTTGATTCATGTGAGCCGCCTGAGTGAAACAGTCCTCGTCGTCGTCGTCGCCGTCGTCGCCGCCCCCCCCCCCCCGCGCGTCGAGTTGTCGTTGGTTTTCGCCGCTTGCATCGCAGTTGCGAATGGGGCCCGCACTGTCCGCGCCGCATTTGCATCGCGGCTGCTCTGGCTCGAGAGCGCGCCAGCAGGGCGCGCGTCGGGGGCGCTCGCGGCGACGGCGGGCACGGCGCGCGCGTGCAACAACGTCAAGAGCTTCAAGGAGGTGCTCGACGCAGCGGCATGCGACGCGAGGGAGGAGTTCCTCGACGACGTCGAGTGCGCAAACATCGAGGAGGTGTCACAGTGCCCGATGGGCCCCGCGACGCCGCTAAGGGTCACTGCCCGACACTCCGGCGCGGTTCCCGATGAGTACTGCTGCCAGGCGTGCGGCGCGGAGTTTACCATGAAGGTCAAGTCTGGGACCAGCTGACCGCGCGGCGCGCTGGCAATGGCGGGGCCCTCGCCACGACCGCGCGAGCTGCTGCGACGCATGTGGCGATGATGAAATCTCCATGAAGAAGGACACCCTGTTGGCAGACGTCAAGGCGCCAACGTGGCTTCCACTCTTCGACTGCATGGTCATGTGGGCCCAGGAGTACCCGCACTTGAAGATCGCTCACGGGCTCGGCAAGCAGCACAACGTCGCGGACCCTTGGATGGAGAAATTCCAGGATGTCGCCGCGTCAAATATCGCTGACAAGGTCTCCCCCCCGAAGCTGCACGAGGCCTTCAAGAAGCGGACCAAGGCCAAGGGCAAAAAGGACATGAACAAAAACGATCCCCAAGAAGAAACAGGCCAGGTCCACCGCGCAAGCCGACGAGGTCTTCCTGCACAAGTCAAAGGTCAGCCGCCTCGCGCCAGGCACCCGCCCAGAGAATGACGCAGTGCGGCTGTGGGGCGCAGTCGCGCGGGGCAGCCCAGAGAATGTCGTCCTCCGTGCCTTGGGACACCCAGAGGACTCGCTCGGCGGGCGCCCCCGCGGCAACCAGGAGATGGCGACGAATGTCGACACGCTGGGCCTCCGCAGGGGCATGGTCGTCGCCACGGACGGGTGGAGGGCCACGATCGCGGCCATCAAGCACATCAGGGACAGGGATGGATGGCGGGACAAGGGCTTGAAGCACGATGTCGTCGTCCACTCCACGGAAGGGGGTCAAGAACCAGCGCGGGTTCACGATGAACCGCATCGAACACTGCTGGTCGGTCCCCAATACGTGGATCAAGAAACGACTTGGCGGCCGCCTGCCGACTAGCTTGGATCGGCGGAAATGGGCCCGCTGGGTGACGGAGTTTCAGTACAGGAAGGCCGTCACGAAGTCGCTCTCGACCGATGGCGGCAAGACTTTCCTCTCCCACGTGGCGGAGGTCACGCTGGCTCGGGGTCTCTGACGCAGCACCTCTGGTACTGACGCAGCAAGTAGCCTCGAGACTCGGCAGCACCTGCGATGCAGGCAACATGCTGGGCTCGCGCGAGCATGGCATGATAATGGGGTCACCCATGCCTGGGGTTGAACAGCGAACCCGCACCACGGCGGCAAACAAACATCATCCAACCATCATCGCCGCCGCCGCCGCCGTCGCATCACGCCGCTTCAACAAAGCAGAATTCCTTAAACCGCTTGGGTCCGAAACCGAACTGAAACCGCAAAATCTACCGAAAACGAACTGGGAATCACCTTTTGGGCCGTCTTGAGGGATTTGGGCCGTCTTGGGGCCATGTTGGGGCCCTCTTCGGCTCTCTAGGAGGCTTCCCATGGGGGGCCCTCTTGGAGGACCTCGTCTTGGACCGTCTTGAGGCGCTCTGTCGGGCCTGTCGGGGCGTCATGGGCCGTCGGAAGCCCGAGAAAGCCAGAATCTTGAAAACCTCTAGATCCAGAGATCCGACGCTCCAAAAATAATGGAGCGGGTGATGTTGGCCAGTTTTCGGCTTCTGGGGGCCCTCACCGGGCCTCGGGAGCGACAAAACACTACTCAGGACGAAACACCGGCCCGAGGGGAGTGGTCCAAACCCCTGGGGCCCACGCATCGAGAAAAATTGGAGCAGCCGGATGTCTGGGAACACCACAGGACGATCAATGCGTTTACCCTCCCCAGGCCGCCCTCTGGTGACACGGAGCCCGGACGACGATCAAATCGGGCAAGGACAAATCGAGAATTTCTGAAATCCGGCGGCTCCGGATGTCTCGGGCGGCGCGGCCTTCTCAGAGCGTTCCGAGAGCTTTGAGAGCCTTCTTCGTCCTATCCCCGTCAGACAAACACCACAGGACGATCAGTGCGTTTAGCCTCCCCAGGCTGGGGGGGGTCCTCTTCACGGCCTGCTCGGCCGTCTCGGCGCTCTCTTCGGCGGTCACGGATCGCTCTTGGGCGGTCTTGAACTCTCTTTGGGCGCCCTTTGGGCCGTCTTGAAGCCCTCTTAGACCTCCCGTGGGCCGACTGCAAGGAATGTTAAGGCGCCTTGGTCGCTCTGGGGCCTCCCTTCCCCTGGACCCTCCCCCCCCAAGAAGGCTACTCGCCCCACCAGAACGTCATCACTCGTAACTCGCTCTTCCCGTCACTTGCATTCTCGAGGCGAGCTGTGAACCCAGCTTGGAAGCTCAAATCTCTGTGAATTCCCCTTCTTCTCCTCCATCCAACGTGTCCTCTCGGTCCTGTTCTCGCGTCTTTGCTTGAAGAATTCGCCACCGATGGCTTTGCTGACTAGAAAATTCCGATCAGATGCGCCCTCCTTGCACTTTCGTTTCTGATCCATGGCACGGCCAATTTGTCCATACCCTGGTAAACTGGTCCGTTCCCTGGTGGCACCAGGCAATGGTCCAATTAGCGGGCGCAAATTTGGCGATTGTTTCGAACGGGGTCGTCCTGGAAAGGTCTGAAAACCCAGCTGGTAAACGTATGTGCAACCATTCACTTCCCTCAAATGGTCACCGGGTAATTGATCAGTCGGTGCGCGTTGTAGTAGTGATAATCGTAGTAATAAAAATACGTATTCACTGCGTGGATCTCCCCATATGTGCATTTACTCGCATGGGCCTGT